TCCTGATCCAGCTCACGGGGTGCCCTGCTGGCCTTTGCTCCTTGATCTAAACCCCTTGCTTCTCAGACTGGAGAGTACAGGCGGGTTCGAGACTTGTAGAGGCCACATGAGAGTCACAGCTAACAACATAGGCCTGTATGCAACTGCCTGCATTTTTGGGGGGAGGATTTTGCCAAATTTTACTTGAATTTGTTGAAGACCAAAATTTCTTCTTGGTCCAGGTGAGTTTGGAGTAGAACTTCCAAGAAATTTGTTTTTGCTCTGTCCAGTGGCGCAAGCAGAAGCTGGTACAAAGGCACCATGTGTCTGTTAACTCTAAGATACGTAGTTTAATGAGCTATTTAAAAAAATAGATAAGCATTTATACAGATGGAATATGTATCATTTTTCACTATGCATGGAACATAGCTTGTAGACAATTTTTGTCTGTAACATACCAAATGCTTTCTCCTACTTGTTCTAAATTCAGACTTACAAATATAGACACTGATGTTCAATCCTAGTCCTGTCGAAGGCAGTGACAGAATTAATGCTGGTTTCAACCAGTTCAAAATTTTTCTTTTTTAAAAAATCAAATAAAAATCCTAAGCAGCAGAAAGGAATGTTATAAAGAATTTCCCCATTACTGCATTTTCATGCATTTTAAAGTTTAAATGACACAAACCCATTACCTGAATTTATTTTTTACTACTAAAGATAGCATCTTCAAGTAGCTGTAAAAAGCTGCCTGGCTTCCTCTCCCCAATAACACAAATGAGGTATCAGCAGCCCACAGCAGCTGACAACGCTGAATCACGCTGTTCATGCTTATTGTCTCCATGTGAGCCCTACACACTTAAGGTCAGGAGTTTTCTCAGGCCGCTGGGGAAGAAGGTGCTGGGCTTTTTCCAGGAGAGGCTCCTTCCTTCTCTTGGGCAAGAAGAGAAGGAAGAACATCAGAAGCTGATGATTCAGTGAAGTCACTAACCTCTGCAGACTCTGGTAGGATTATATGAATCATGCCTACCAAGCCTGAGCCTTCCGTTCATGCTCAGATTACTCATACCGCCAACCCTAGGATTAGCATATAGCTAATTTTTTATGCATCAGCCTTTGTGCTAATAACCCTTTTCGTTATTGGGGAAGGGAAGAAGCCTTCGCAGCTTCTCAATATCAGACTAGCTGTAGCAGGATTTTCCCTGAAGTGTATCTCAGTAAACCAGTGACCCAGTTAGAGAAGTTAGAAAGTTTGGCAGGAGCAAAATGAACAATATTGTTGTTTATATCACAATAGTCATCAAATTCCTTAATCAACCAGTAATCAGACTGTATTGGTAGAAAAATTGGAAAACCAAGGTTGGAAATCCTGGAGTTGACCAAAAGCTTCTGCCCTACCTGTAAGGAAAGATTGATGGAAGCCCAGCAATAGGTTAGACACAATAGTAGCCATCTAGAATATAAGAAGGATCAAAGATGGAACCATGATGTATATTATTACAAGCAGGTATTTGGGCAAGCTGTGCCATAGTTCTTGTACAAGCCACAGAACTATTTTTTTCACAAGTCAGTCAGTCGATTTTTAGTTTATGCATCACTAACTACCTGGGTAGTTTTATGGCAAATTTCTAAATTATTCAAGCATTTTGCCTGTGGAGTTTCACTCTCTCATCTTCAGATATTAGGTACGGATCCAGTATCAGAGCTGGAAAGAAGACAGTGCTGGGGACCTGGCAGCTCCTAGTGCCTTTTGCACAATGAAATTGCTGCACACCCTTCAGCACACCCTGGTTTCTGGGCATCTCCAGCTGTGCTACCATCACTGTCCTATTTGCCAAGGTAGCAGTAGAATTCCTCATTTATTGAGGAACACTGTCTTCGTACTCCAGGACCATGCTGCCTTCATACGTGTGGCAAACCTGTTTGTACAAAGCAAATACCTTCCACACATTTCCCAGCGTTTTGCAGAAGAACACTTAGAATCTTTGATATATCTCATATGAGTAAGAAAAATTGAGAACCCCAACAATTACTTTTTGTCTTCCTTATATTTTGATTTTCTCATTTTCTGCTCTAAATTGCTGTTCTAATGGGTGCCAAGCCAAACCATCCCCAGGGCAGATTGTCTTACGAGCTTTGACAATGTGTTTTGCCCTCCATGATGTGCCATCTGCCTGCTAATCTTTTGTCAGTTCAACTAATCCTGTTTCTCTGAGAGACAAAAGAGGACAACTTTGCACATCACTGACTCTGCCTCCGGCCTGACCAACTCAGAGTTGACAGTAAAAAAATAACATATTCCATTTATTAGTGACAGAGGAAATTCTTAAAGCTTTTAACTATCTTACCCTCCATTTATGTGTAGATACAAGTATAAAAATGACACATTAGTGCAGCTGTTTTCACAAATGATCAAGGTAACTTAATGGTGTAACAGAAAATATGTATTTTAATTGTTAGGTACCTAGCAATACTTAGCCTGTTTAAGCAGCCTATTTTCCTTCTTTTTTTTTTTTTTACACAGCCTCTCGTGGAGATGTATCAGGCCGTTTGTCTGCATGCCTGTGTATTTATTTTTGCATTCTTCTTTGCCTTGCCTGCTACTTTTCTTTGATTGTTACTGTTGTAACAACACTTCTTCTTATTATTTTTCTTCTTTTTTTTTTTTTTTTCTTTTTTTTTTTTTTTTTGGCAGGCTGTACCTCCACAAGTGTTATTTCCTGCTTGCTTGAGTGTGGTGACAGCTTTGGGCAAACACAACCATTGCAGGCTTGCTACTCACTTATGGTTAGAGGCCATCTCCCTTTCCTCTGAACTCAGCCTTTTGTCTGGAGGTAGGAACTTGTTATCCTCTTTAACTGGCTGGTAGGTTGCAAATAAAGGGTTTATCAGATTAGCTTTAGCAGCACTGACATTGTGACTAAATCATCGTGGCCATAGAGAGTCATGGAAGCTGGAATTAGCTTTTGAAAGGGCAGGAGTGCCACTTGACACTGTTAGCAATGCACATACACAGAAGGGATGAAAGGCAGAGATATTCTTGTACTTCCCTCCCTCACCTCTTATTTCTGAAGCAAGAGATCTTGAGCTTGCATTAACCCAGTCAGAAAGTATGTCCAGATGATGGCAAGGTAGTGAATCCTGAATGTGAACTCTAGTATTTTATTGCAGGAGAAATAGCTATTAATGACGTATGAACTCCGGGTGAGGGCAGGCCTAAATCACTTTTGATGTGGATATGAAACAAGACATCCTACCAGCACCACATCACATTATGACCCATCTTACACCCCAGCTCCCCTTCCTCACCAAGGACTCAAGTCTCCCACTTGAGCATGCAACCAGGCCAGGCTCATGTCAGAGGACCTTCCCTAGACATTTCAAGGGGCCATACCGTATTTGTCAACACATGCTCTTTCTGCCAGTGAATGAAACACCACCATTCCAGCAATGGCAGAAGTAGTAGACACAGAGCAGTACTTTATTGCAGAATAAGTATTTTGGCACTAGCTCAATCACCTGCTACTTGAAAGACGGGGCTACCATTTTTAGGCATACTTGAGCTGTCATTTATTAATTTAGATGGAACTTATTTCCTTTATCTGAAAATCCAGTTACTTATGGAAAGTCTTGTGCGCTTAGTTTACCTAGTTAGGTGGTCTGTGGCAGACCCTCACCACAATACTGGCCACGTTACCTTCACTTCTGACTTCAATCCAGGAACTTGACAAATCAGAGGTCTCCACAGGGGGAGAGAGTTTTGAGGTGGGGATTCAACAAGATTCAGTGGTCTCCAAAGTTGCATGTGGGAAGAAAATATTTAATACAAACCAATTTTTATTTTTTTAAATTACAAAACAAAATAAACATAACTAAGCAAATTTAAATAAACACTATTTTAAATGTTTTTAAGTTCAATTTTTAAGGGGTTTTAGAATGCATATAACATTAGTACAGTAAAACATTATAAAATTTATAGATTAATAAATATATATGTCTTGGGGGTGTATGCTTAAAATTTTTACTGATGGGATGCATGATGAAAAAGGTTTGGAGACCACTGAACTAGATTATCTCAAGGGGGGCCCCCTTCCACCCAACATTTCTGCAATACACATTGTGCTTTGGTAATAATTCTATAAAACAATGTTTTATTAGTCCTGTACTTAATTTGAAAGAGCTATATGTAATCAACAAGAATGTAGGGTTTTTACACTCTAGTTTCTACCTCAGACAAGTATCCCAACTTTAATAAAATCTTGCATTAATCAGAAAGCCTTTCAAACTGGAGCCAGAAGTGGGAAGTTTTAGATAATTTCTTTCTGGGAAGAACCAGAAGCATTTAGCAAACATGCTTGCACCCTTATCCAAATGGTACCTTAAAATACATTAAACAGAAGATGGATATGCCTGGGCCTTTAAAGACATGCAAGTATACAGGATTCGCTGTTGAAATTACAGAGTTCCAGGAAACAGGGTTTTTTTATGAATACAAATAACGTTAAACATCCTTTAGAAATTATCACTATTACAGAAATCTTTTGTCGCAGTCCAGTTTCTGTGTGTGTCACAGTAAAGTGATTGTTTTAGTATCAATCACATAATTGACAAGACCTTGGTTTAAAGTAGTTTCTATAATATACCATGACTTAATACAGTCAAACACAAGAATTTAGCTATGCTTAATATAACAGATTCTCACGTGTTTCTGAAAAAATGATTTTAAAAAATGAGAAAAAAAATCAAGCTGATACTTTATCTCATATATATATACTTAACATACCAAACTGTAATCAGAATAACTATGTTCCAGGGTGTAGCAGACTAGATTACATATATTGTAAACAAGCAGCAAAAAGATGAGATGCTTCAAGTGTCAATGAACAAACTTTTAATATTAGAAATTTTAGATGAGCTTACTTGTCCTTAAAGTGGTCTTAACATTTAAGCTTTTAACTAGTGCATTTTCAAAGTGGTACCGTTTATAGTAGTGTTGAAGTTAAGTTCTATATTAACTACAGCTGTCACGAAAGATATTCTTCAAAAGATGCCATAATATCACTCTGCAGATTCATATCAATTGTACAAGCCATCTGCAAGAAAGGACATTAGTGTATTTCAGAGCAGTTGTATTTCAGAGCGTTAGTTAATACTATGCAGGTGAAATATTTAGTAAAGGTTTAAGAAAAAACTACAAAGCTTCTTCCCCAAAAGTGTATGCTTCCTCTGTTATTACAAGTTTGAGGATTCATGTTGTTGAAGTCCCCTCTTAAAAGAGCTAAACGGGATGAAAGCTTCAGTAGACCTTATCTGAATGTAGCATGACCTCACACTGCAGTTTTTACATTCCCCTGTACAATATGAATTTTAAAAAATGCTTAATCTAAAAAAAAAAAAAAAGAAAAAAGTAGCAATTAAGAAACATTTGTAACCCACACCAATAAAAACAGTAAGTCAGTTTTAAAAAGGCTCAGTTTTGATATTTCAGACCGGAACAGCATGACTAGCACTTTTGTTGACATGGAATACATTGAAGATCGGCAGCTTGTAAGCCTTGAGGTTTGAAGTTATTCAAAGGGCAGGAGCTCCCCTTTAAAATTTGATTTTTACCATGCAATTCTTCTAAGCTTATAGGAGTAATAGGACCAAGCAGATACTTCTTCATATTCTGCCACTTGAAGACCTACTTTGAGTTTCCTATTTTATTTTCTGCACTAGCTCTTCAAGTAGGATAGTTCTGTTTTTTTTTTAGTCACTCAGACCCTTTAACATAAGGACCTGAGCTAACATTTTTTTATTTTCTACTAACGGTGAAACAAAATCAGCTGGCAAGAGTCAGCAACTTACTGCTTCTCTCCTCCTGCGTTCTTGTTCCATTTTTCTAGCCAAGTTACGGTCTTGAATAAGAGTGTGTTGTTGAGCTTCAGGCAGTTGTTTGCTCTTTTGCTTTTTTTGAGACTCACAGTCTGTCGCTGCCATGGCACCCAATCCTGTGCCTTCATGGCCACTTTAAAGAAAGCAGGAGAGATCAGTATAGGATAAAATTTGTCTCTTCTTTTTCTTCATAACACACCTTTGCACCTGAAGAGAATTCTGCAAATAACTTGAATCACTGCATAGCACTCAAACTGTGGTTCTGTTTTACATGTTGATTCAATGTAATTTGCCTTTGCAATAGGTATGTGCTCACAATTGTTGGGCTGTAGTAGGATAAGGCTTCCTGTGTTCCATTTCCAGTCTATTTGCACACAGGATTTATATACATGCTACACAAAGCTTACACACACTTTCTTTGACACACACACACAAATTTCTGTTACTTTCTTGGCCCATGGTATTTTGCTTCTACTTTCTTTCTCTTCAACTAGTTATTCGAGTTAGATTTCACTAATTTTGGGCAAACATCTGTAATGTCTTATTCCACAGAGCTACATGCCCAGTTTCCTCCTCGTGAAAAACTGTAGTAGCTGAAGGTGCCTGGATTGTTCGCTATACATTCTGAACAAGGAGTGTACTCTTAAGTCCCTCAAATGCTCTGCTTATTAAAATCATACACTCCAAACAAGTGACTTATTCTAATACAGGAGAATTTATGAACCAGCCCAGGCCTAACTTTCACAGGGTGTGACAGACGAGGGGGAAAAAACAAAAACAAAAACCAAGCCTACTGCTGAAGAGGGAAACGCTACCAAAAGCAGAGTTTCAAAAAAGTGGCAAACAGCAGCCTAAGATGTTACTGCAATGCAGTAATTAGTAGGCAATCATGTATCCCACTCAGCATAATAATAGACCTCAGACTGGGGTGCATATGTGGGCACTCATTAAAACAGAGGCTGCAAACAACTAGGGAAGAATACTACAGCAGTAGCTTATTGAATGTGTTTCTCTACAGCAATGCAAAGAATTCTGCTGGCTGAAGTAGTGCATACTGGAACTCCTTTAGCTATGTAGCTATGTTAACATCAAGTCCTAGAAGACTAGATTATCTGGCTTCCCCTTCGGATAGCAATAAGATGGGGATTTTCCTGGCTATAGATACAGAAAAGTAAGATATTGAGGATAGGTGTGAATTCTGGTTCTGACCAGAGAAAATAAGTGCTCCAGAGGACAACAACAACAAAAAGTGTCCCTAAGAGGTTTCCTTGCTGAAATGATACTGATTTGCAAAAGAAAAAGCCACTCTGTGTATGTTGGATGTGCAGTTGTGTTTAGAGCGGTACAGCTCCCCTTCTCATCTGACACATGGCTACTACCTAATCCAAACCACTTGTTCCTAACTAAGCCATCCAGTACCATACAAGCAAAAAAATAGAATATTTTAACGTACATGGTTACAAACCTCTCTTTTTCTTGAGGAAGGTTTTGCTGTTCCCTCTCGGCTTGCACCAGAGGCCTTTTAAACTCCTGCGCTTGCCCACTCCTCTTCTTTAAGGCTGCTTTCCTGAACTGTCTGAAGCTCTCAGCAGATGTTTTTATTGGAGCTGGAATCATCATCGTTTTACATAAGCTTACCCAGGAATCTATATTCTTAAATCCTGTATCCTGAAGTTATTAGGAAAAGGAAAACATGGAAGAGGCAGAAATACTGTACAACTGCTAATCATCCATTTCCTGCTTAGTTCTTACATTAGCACAATGTTGTTTTGACTGGACCTATTTGGGAATATCTACAACAAAATATCCTTACGTTGGCAAAATATTAGTACAAACACAGTAAAGCAGACTTCAAAACGTTCTCTCGTCAACTTTGAGACTCTTTAGCAATATGCTAAAAATTGTTAATGTTTGTAGCTGTTCTTACCTCTCCTTTTTTTAATTCCAGAAAAACTTATTCCTTAAGCATATACAAGGTCCATTAACAATATTTTAATACAGAGAACATCTCATTTCTATACATAATCCTTACATAACAGTAGTTTTGTATTAGGCTTGTAGGTTTTGTTTTAAATACCTGTGTTTTCTCCCCCTCACCTCTAGTGGCATTTTCTTCACCTTAACGCAGCATAAACCCAGTATCCTTAAGAAGTACTGCTTCTAGTAGGTGGTCAATATGTTTATGAAGGAAATCAGAGCCCATAGATTTTTTTTTTTGTAGCACTAGAAGTGAGATAAATCTGTACAGGTTATAACAATGCCCAAGACCTATGAGACACTGAATATCTGAATCATCAAGAGTCAATCATCAGACTTTCAGAGAAGATCCCAGGACAGAGAATTATTTATCTTAGTAAATGCACTCAGACTCTTCTCCTTAAATAGGACTTGAGCAAAACTTACCTTTCTTGAAAGAATTTTGAATTTTGGCTCTAGCATGCTTTCACTGTTAGGTTTATCATTAGGTGTACAATGACCTGATGAAAAAATAAAATTTTTCACTCACATTGATTTTAGGGACTATGGTTCCTCAAATTTAAATGATAAAAATTCAATCATTCTAGAAATTGACTTCAGAATTTACACTGTATGCTGTTACTTCGTTATTACTTGTGAGGGAAAAAACCAAAACCCAACACCGTGTAAGACAGGCAAAGCAGAAGTGCTATTTTGACAATACTAACTTCAGATTACCAGTTCTGATATACTGTGTTACTGTAGAATGTCCATGTTACGCAGGAAGAGATACAATTTTGTACAGCTATAGTAAGACTGAAAATAGACGTTTGTAATACTAGGGACTGGCTAGAATACCACATGGCTAACAAAAGCTGCGTATTGTAGGGTAGGTGTTTGGGTTTTTTAAAGTTTTCTGTATTGCTTTGTTATATTCCCTTTCAAAAGAGCTCCTAGGATGAAAATGTAGATACTATGAAAGGCCACTAGTTTAGAACCAGAAAAAAGCAACACATTTTATATCATTCAGCAATGATCTTCTACTGCAGTTTAAGATGTTTCAGTATTTAAGTAAATGTTTAATAAGAAACTTAAAATAAGGGTGTTTTTTGTTTTTAATGCAAAGGATAAAGGTTTTGGGTGCTCGAATCTAGAATGCTGAAGGCAGAGTATCGAACCTTCAGCAGCCACCAAAAAATCAAGATAAGAACAGACCTTTACCCTAGGCCCCCCCACAAATATACCATCTTAGAGGGAATGTAAGCAAGCAGGAGAGTTTTCACCATACAGTGAAATAAAACAGGATGAAAAACCTCTGAAGACTCTCAAATACTACTGGAGAGTGTTCCAAATCCTGGTATCTTCATTCTCGTGAATTCTAGATCCACTGTTAAGATCAATTAGATCAACCTGTTCTACCCACCAAGATGTACCTGAAGCAAATTTATGATGAGTTTAAGTTTATAGTCTTGTCTGTCTTAAAGCTCTAGATATGATACAAGAATACAAGGCTTTCTAAATGAAGATTATTAATTGAATCCATGGAACCCATGTACCAGCTCCAGCTGCTACACATTTAAACAAAAGGGGTCAGTATGTGTACGTGTAGGTGTGTTAACACCACAAAAATACTGAATAGAACATTTTAGAAAATTAAATCTCAATTCTTAGAGTTGCTTTAATACTACTCAAGTACCCAGCATTATTCTTTGGCAGCAATTAAGAGAGTTCATCAGTAACAGCTGTGTCTTAATTTCATCAAGTTTCCAGAAGCTTGTTCCCTCCCCTGTTCAAGTCTATACAGGTAGTCTAGAGAGAAAAAGAGTAAAGGAGGAACCAAAGCAACCATGTTTGTTAACACTAGACTCTCAGCATGGATGTTCAGTGTCTAGCTCAGAATTCTTTAGTTTGAAATATATATAAAGCCTCATGCAAGTCTGTATGGAATGCAGCTTTCAGGGAACCTGTGTTCTTCTAATAATTGCAAATTTGTTCCATGGTGAGAACCCATTTGACATTGCTTTACTGTCACATTCTTGTCACCAGCAGCTGGAGACGGTAATTCAAACTACACACAAAATGCCTTTGGAAGAGAGCTCCATGAAGCTTCAGCAGAAGACAGCTTAAAGGTCAGTGAGGTTAGACAGATTGAAGCATCAGTTCTCTCAGACTTTCTGGAAGACTGGGTTACCTATACCTAGTACTAAATTTAGAAAGCTAAGTTCTTAAATCAACAAGAACCAAGCATCCATTCAATATTTTTTTTTAAGCAGCAAATAAAAAAAAAGAACAAGGGAAAACTGTACCCCCTCCATTATTCTGCAAACTGATTAATGTACAACTGTTCAGCATTTTATTTCTTTAAACCAGATTCATATACATTTTTAACTTTGCATCTCTGATATCAGTTACAGCTTTTATTATGATAATACATACTTTGTTCTTGACATATGGATATTGAATCAGCAGTTCTCTCACTGGCCTTGTTTTGAAGTTTATTTGATTTGTCTAGAAGTATTGTTTTCTCAGCTTGTTCACTCCAGTCACTGCTACCAAGCTGGAAAGTTGTGTTGGATACCTAGAAAAGAAGTTAGACTTGAAAATATATTCTGAAGTGCTAAACACATAGCTGCAGGATTAAAGATTTAGAAGCTTAGAGCAGTAAATTGTTGTAGCGCTAGCTCCTGTAACACCAGGGAAGAATTAGATTTCATTCATATTATGGTATTCAAAGCAAGTTCTTACATTAACACTTTGGATTTAGAACATGAACTGCTCAGAGATGCCAAGTGATGGAGTGGGTAGAACAGGAAACCCTCTTTAACCCTTAACATGGAACAGCATAATAGAAGTTGGCTTTTACTGTTGTAAAGCCAGTTGCTCCACTCTAGCTTATAGACTGGGGTGAAGGACAGCTGTATTACTCCAGTTCAGTGGTAGTTTTTCCCCTCTGTGCAAGACTCTGTAGTAACCCTCTTGAACTGGGGAAGGTGCTGCACAAACCTCAATCTCATAAGATATAGACTTGCTGCCTTTGGATAGTGGACACAAATGGGGAAGGGCATGTTGCTTTTCTTCCTTTCTTGTAGGACACATTGTTATGCTTATAGACTCAAGTGGTAGTTTCTGTCCATTTCAGAAAATAAAAGCTATTAAAACCTGGCGAAAGCAGCTATGCTTGAAATCATGTTGAGAAAGATAGTTGAACATATTAAAATGGAAGAAATCATGCTGCTGCAGTAACATCAATAACTTCCCTTGTAACAGAGGCCCTTCTAACCAGGATCCTACCCAAGAACATATTAAGACAGATACCAGCAGTGCCTAAATATTTCACAACCTCATCTATGACCCTGAAAGCCCCAGTTCCCATGGCTTTAGGAATGCGAAGGAAAAGTAACACATTTTTCTAGGATAGCTTCTAGAGTCTTCAGAGTATTACTGAGCTTATGCGATTGGTATTTTGAGAAAACAGGAACATATAGTGTAAACTGCCCATCTCTTGTGAAGCTGTAGGTATACAGGGTGGGCTTTTAACCTGTAAGGGTGCAAGGGTTACTTAACTTATAGCACTGAAAATAAATAAAATAAGCTTTATAGTACATTATAAACTTGATATATTGATCAGCCAAACTCTTTCCTTTTGTGTTGTAGTCAACAGGCAATGAATTAATGCCCTATTAACGGATAAGAATAACTTTGTTAGTGGAATTTTAGATAACTTTTGTCATAAACATTAGGTGGCCTTCATTGCATCAAAGCAAGCTTAGAATGTTAGATTAGATCTTATTTTAATGAGTGAGAACATGCTTTGATGTTATTTGAAATAAATGCATTGGAGAGAAGCACATATTCACCTCTGGAAGAACATGTGTGCACTGGACAACAGGAGACTGATTTGTCCTTGCAGTACTCTGAGGAGTTTGCTGGTCTGGCACATCATGCACAGCAGATACAGCTGGAATTATACCTGAGAAAGAAGTAGTGTATGATTTCTCCTAACATGCAAAGTGCAGTCCTACATCTCAAAATCAGGTCACTGTTTAGATCTGTGGATTAACTGGATATGAAGATATGTATCCTAGCTGCACAATTTGAGACAGTTATTTTAAGTTAGTTTTTAATTGATTTCTCAGTTACCAGCTCAAGCTGTCTTTTAACAAAAACTCAGAAGTCTCTGAAGTTAGACATTTTGAAATAAAAAGCTCCTTGGATCAATTTTCTAAACAATTTAATATTTGATATGTCTAGACAACAGCAATCACTTCAGAGGACCTATGGTACCAGGCCTTGAGTTCAGCTAGTAGGGATTTCAGACATGAGCTTGAGTGGCAGTGGTGAGTTTAAGCATCTAATTCCTGCCTTAAGGTGTTCAGCACTTCCTGTAACCCTAGGTTCATTAAGGTATCATTTTCCATCTCATCAGAGGGAGGCCTGTTTTAATAGTCTTCTGGCCTGCCAGAAGTGCCCCAGTAATCGGAAACCCTAACCAGGCCTTCGTGCTGCCACATTTTATTTACATCATGCTCTTTATAATCCATACCCTGCAAGAACTTTTTCTATTACCCACAAAACCCCAAGATAAGCCTATTACACAACACAAACATTAGTCCTGCCATCCCTTCTTTCCTCAGCAGTCAAATATAGCCATGCTTCTAGCCATATAGATGTTACCTGAGGGAGACTGGGAATTTTGTTCTGATGGTTTAAGTGTTCTATTCTGTAAAGGCTGAAGCCTCTGCAGTACATTGGGAGGGAGCTGCTGTAGTTCAGATGATCCATGTTTTTGCAAGCTACTAGTAAAGGATGAGGGCTGTGCTTGTGGAACAGCATTGCAGGATGTCCTCTGCAAACACAGTGGTATTCTCTAGAAAGATATTGCAGTAGTTAATGCAGCCAAATCTTAATTTTTATAGCTATTTGATCCCCCTTCCCCACCACCACCCCATTTTACTCTTTATAGTAGAGATTCGGTAGTCCTTGTAATGTGATACTAATCTAGCATTTTCTAAGAGTTTAGATGACAGAAACCCATGAAGTGAAGTGCATTGCCTTGGTATGATGGATACAGAGAACAAAACATTATGTGAGGATTTGAAGTATGATGCTTGTTGTTGCTCAGAAAGTCAGTTAGGGGCTGTTATAAGTGACCAAGCTGAAGCTTAATACCTTTGTCCTGTTTTCTCAAGATTATTGCTGTCATTCTGTCACTGCAGAGACTGTGCTTTTTAAGGAAAAAAAGAAAAGGGTGTTGCATAATTCTTCCCTTCAGTCTTTGCTTATGAAGATGCAGAAGGAGCAGCTGAATAATAAATTTGCAGCCTAGTTTCCTGTATCCAACTAAGCACTCCAAGTGAAAGCAAGTCTATTGTAAGAAGAATGAAGGCTTTGCTGTGATCTTGCTTTGAAATCTGAGGCCCCTATGTCTGGTAGCTTCAAGGGAAATTGTGAAAGGCAGCTAACATTGACAAGAATTAACACCCACTGTATGTACAGGAATAGAGCAATTCAATCTTAAAGGCATTTAAAATTATTTCTAGATAAAACTTCTGTTGCTTATAATACCATCATAGTAAGTAAAGTATCCTGAAAATGAATAGTATATTTTACAATTTATTTATTTTCAGGTATAGAAATTAGGTTATTCATAGATTAATATTAAAGTGGGGTTTGCACTGTTTATTAGGTCAATCCTATACTCAAAAGATCAAGTTGGAGAGGATTTTCTTTTTTTTTGGGGGGGGGGGGATATGGAGCATTCTCCCCCTCTCCTTTCCCTTCTCTTTCACCCAATGCAGAATTACCACAATGATTTTAAGAGGCAAAGATGTTATATCCATTCCACTCGGTTTACCTTAGGCTTTTCCATGGAAGTTGGACAGTTCTGCCTGGCTCCAGCCTGTTTTGAGCAGGTTTCTGTAACTGTAAATACAGCAACGTAGGCAGAAAGAGGGGGATGGAAAAAAGGTAAATCAGTCATTCACATATGTTTCATTATTCACACATACAAAATGTGAACTGCAGATGTACCTAGAGAGCCAAACCTCACAGTGAAAGGAGCATTCTTATCTTGAATGCTTTGACTTCAGCTTGATGTGTTTATAGAACTTCTTCCAGATATAAAAAAAAGACCACAAAGATTCCTGCAGAATCATGGTCTTTTCTGCCATCAATGACTTCACTGTGTTTGCTTCCCCACACTGCAAAGGGTCAAGCATTCATCTTCCCTTACACTGTTACCTTACACAGATATCTACATTGGAGACCATCTACATCTGCCACCTCCAGCTTGGCAGATCTATTCTGTGCTAGAAAACTAAAGAGAGTTCTGTGTACGGAGAGAAACATCATTCTGATATCTTGATGCTAAAGCACTGTACTGTCCCTTGAACAAGATTGAGAGCTTAAGCACCAGAGTAGACTGACTCCACAGTCAATGCTGTTGGCACTTTTGTCCCTTAGTTTAGGGACTAATCCTTACCCACAAGGTAAGGCACCCTTCATGCTGCAGACCAGAAGATGAAAATATGTAAATCACACTTTCAAAAAGGAACCAAATCCACAAGAATAACCTATAGCTCAATAGCCAAGTCACAGAGCTCTTTCTAGCTTATTTTGGTAGCTCAAGTTTTTCACTGATAGGTTGAGTGGATATTGTAGTGAGTTTTTTTTAACCTACAAACTCAGTATTAAGACACTCATTTAATAGCACTGGAATTGAGACTTCAACATGGGGCAAATCTACAAGGGTAAGTGAAGTCCTTGGTAAGCACATGGAACAGTAGATGCTAACTGAGAAGGCAGATGTTTTGCCTATACAAACACAAAAGGAAGCTCTCTGACCTGATTCAGAGTCGCTGCTATCTGAGGAGCTAGAACCACTGCTAGTACTGCTGCTGGAGTCTGAGGAACTGCTGCTGTTGCTCAGTCTGCTTGGCCCAATACTGCACTCAGCATTGTTTTCAACTGCAGGAGAAAAAGAAAGAATTTAGAAAACCTGCAGTGGAGCATACTTTATATGCAAGACTAGGATCAACCTTGCTAGGTCTATTTTCCTGTATAAAAGTTCATCTTCTGCTATTTCCTTGTCCACTGTCCATCTAACAGTGGATTTGGACCTTTATAGAGGAGCTAGTTGAATGAATGAAATAGCCAAGGAGGAGCTGTAATCACACAGTTTACAATCCTAAGGTAGGTTAAGATGGTGTTGCCTTAAGACACAATTCAAGCAATTTCCTCTGTAAGTTTTACTGCTGTCAAGAGCCTGTTTCTGTGCTTACTGCTGCTGCCAGACTTGTATGCTGAGGCCTTTATCTATAGCCAACTCTCCTCTTTCCCAAGCCATATGTACTCCAGAATTGTCATCTTTTGCCACCTCCCCACCATCTGACTATTTTACATCTGCAAGGTCGATTTAACTCAGCTTATAGCAATTTTTACAGTCAAAAAAAGCTTTTTCAAAGTGTGTTGCTCTGATGGAAGCTTTGAAAATGAGAAGCTACATGGATACCTGTTTCCCTGGACACAAGTGTTTGTTAAATGCCAGCTTAAGCTCTTCCTTGTAAACAAGCCAGATGCCAGTTGTAAAGACTCCCTGGCCTGCCTTCACTGTCTCTCCACAACATATCCTTCCCAATTGATTTCAGCTGCTTCTTAAAGCTTTTCTTTCTAGAATGTTTTCAAGCCATCACATATACCAGACAGGAAGACTGTTGCCTCAGCTAATGCTGGCTGCAAGGCTGTGGCTTGCAGAGCTGCTTCTATAATTTTGGTGAACTGCTTTTATGTAGGAGCTTAATAGATATCCAATAGAAGGCATTAATAACAGTCACTAGTTTAATGAGAAACAACTTGTCCTATAATGGTAGCATCAGCTGTATTGATCTGTTCTCCCTGAAAAAAAAACACCAGTAAATGTAGATAGGCTCATGTATGTACTGACTTTCTGGCTTTGATATCGAAACATGTTATTGCCTGAAAAACTGAATTGATTCTCCTAGGGCACTTGCTTAAGGATAAAGCAACACATATTCCGGTCACTGAGGCAGAAGTTTTACTAGCAAAGCAGCCTTAGCAAGGCTGCAATCTAACAAGTATGACTAGATTTTGTTATTCTTGAATCTAAGCCACAGAAAGTGAATTGCAAACAAATACATAGACTGTGGGACACTCCTCTCCACCCATGTTTTCATATGTAATGGAGAAGGTGTTCAGTGTCCCTTAAGCTCTGAATCTGTTATCTTTACCTGTAATAAAGGATTAGGTGCAAGAATAAGGAAGATGTTATAGGCAGGGCAAGTAACTGACCAAATTTGCTCCTGTGACTCCAGCTCATTCAACATAGGAAGAATCTTAACACTAACAATGGGAAGCTTAAGACATCAACTATTCTCAGAAGTCCCCAGCTGCATATTAGTGCATAAAACAGGATTCCTGTCTTGGGCTTAAGTAATTTCTATTGCAAATGAATAAAAGTAAGAGTCACATTACACTTGAGGTTCTCCTTCTTTGGGTTTAGTTGACCATTGACATCCAGTAGTCTCTTCTCTAGCTCTTGTTTCCTCTCAGAATTAAGTTGTTCTTTGGACTTTGTTGTTTGTTTACCTGCATGTGAAACAGAAGTTAACATTGCAGCAAAACAGAAAGAAAATCTAGTTGCTTTGTGGGCATTTTGGGGGAGGTTGATTTATTTGTTTTAAAAGCATTATTTATGCAACATACCCCGCTGCTTTCTCAGTCTCTTTCTCAAACAGGTTGCCACGTATTTCTCTAGTTCTCTAAGTGTTGAAGCCTTTAAAGTTTCAAAGTCTATTTCTATCTCATCAGGGTTAGAGTTCCTCAGTGAAGGTTCTCTTGACTGTATTATATGGACTACTTTCCCAAGCTTATCTCCAGGGAGTCTATTTATGTCCAAACTCAACCGTCTTTTTTCATCATAATTCATAGGCTTGGCACCATCTTCATCTTCTGCCTTATGTGCCAACAAGACCTGCTGCATGGTTTTCTTTGACTGACTACAAGGAAAAAAAAAGTGTACTGCAGTAACAGCAGTTTAAAATAATTTGACACCCACACAAGTCATCCACACTTACAAGTTTAAAGACAGCTTTTTCTTAGATTTCTTCTTGTGTTTTAGATTTTTCTTCTTTTGAATCAGGCTTTTTATTTTGGCTTTTTCCTTGTTCTTACTTTTCTCCCTTTTAGCCTTCCCTCTCTTCTTTTTCAGTTTAGGTAAGTATACTCTGGTTAAAGTCTGCAACTGCTGGTGAACAGCTTTAAGCTATCAAAAGCAAAAAAAAATAAATTAAGATGTTGATAGTCTTAGGCAGTGTATGATGAACAATAAACTGGCCCTAAATATCACAGGGGATCTGTGGCAGCGGAGCTGATATTAATAGAATGTTTGCTTTCTAAATGAGGTTTATTCTCCAAGCATCTTACTATAGTATGGATTAGTCACAGACTATCTATAGGGAAGATGCAAGGCTACTTATTTTACGCAGACATTTCTAACATCATATGTCTTCTAGCATCCTGTGAAGAATCAAAAAAGCAAAAAAAAAAAAAAATCACTGTAGGAGTATACAGCAGTTTCTCTTTAATTTCAAGCATTTGGGAAGCACATAAGTGCCTTATTATGTTAGACCTCTACAACATTACTCAATTAGGCTAGTGGGACTGGTCTTGTGTATCTTCAACCCATAAACCCCAGATCTCTTGCAATATAAAATAGCTAGTTGGGAAATGCTAACAGCTTCAGAGAAAGGCCTAACGCAAAATTGTTGAAACCTCGTAGGAGTTAAAAGGAAGATGGACAGATGTTGAGAATTAGAGTTACACACCGAAATAGTTCACTATTTCAAAGGCTGTCTTGTAGACTTTTGGTTGTCCTCATGACTATATTCATAAGTTGATGATGTATATGCTACTCTGATAAATGCTGAAAGCTAAACTGTCCCCCGTTTGATTAGCAGAACAAATGCTAGTTTTCCTCATAGTTCATCAATATAGCTGCAGAAGGTTAAAGCATTATGTTCAAGCAAAAGCAAGACCCATTCAACTCTTAGCCAGTGAAGCAAAGCCATGCTTCACATTAGCATGAAATTCCTTCTGTTTTACTTCATACTGAGCTTTCTGAAGTAGAATTTTATTACTTGCTTTTGTGTGGCTCAGAAGAGACTGAGCAGAAGAATGGAGCTCTTCAACTATATGAAGGAAATGCCATTGTTAGAAGAATACACCAGATGTAGTTTAGTGGCATATCTGGATGCTCTCATCATACCACAGCAACACAGTTTTATTTTTCAGGAGTTTGAGAGTTATCTGGAGAAATAGGAATAGAGTTCTGTATCTTCCAAGCAGGAATAAAGTTCTGTATCAAGGAAAAAAAAAATGCCTATAGAATTTTTTAAATACTGATTCTTGGTGCTAAGCCTTAGAATGGACAATTGCAATTGGCACTATCAGAGATACTACAAGTCATGCACACTGGGCACTAATGCTTACTTGCTCCTGAAGCTTTGCAAGGTGCACTGTTCTCTCCTCTTCAGAGTCTTCAGATGACTTTTCTTCTGAAGAGTCATCATTGCTGCTCTCACTAGAATAAGCTTCTGTCATTTCTCTTTTAGGCTGCAGCGGAGGAACACTTGCAACAGGTTCATCAGGAATTTTGGCAAAGTGCATCTCAAAAACATCCTAAAGAGTTAGGTTTGGGAAGAGCAGAGAAATCAGCATGTTTTGAAGATTTCTAAAAGCATTACAAAGTTGCTGCTTCATTCTAGACCTACACACCAACATAGTAGTTGCTAACATTAGTAGATGCTACATCAGGGCATAAGGTGACCACAGAGGAATCTTATAGTTCTACTCTTTTTCAGGTCTGACTTAAGTGATAACTCACCTGAAGTTTTCTTGCCATAGCAACTATTTCATGGTCTGGAGAATTATGTTTGTAGTAGCTCATGAACATTAATCTAACATCCGTAGCAAATTCTTGTATATCTTTATATTCAAAATTATCCATTTTCTTCTAGAGAAAAAGAAAATTGATGCACATTTAGGGCTTAAAAGTAGAGAGCATCACCATGAACTGGCAGAGAAAGGGGAGAAACACAAGTTTTGACATCCAGTATCAGGTTCACCTTGTACCAAGGCAGTAAATATTGTAAGAACCATTATGGAAAGACCTGCATCTCATTTCAACATTGTCCCTTTAACAAAATAAGAGATTTTCCTCTTTTAAACAGATTTTCTAACTGCAATCGCTGTAAGGACTTTTTAGTACTAATTTCAGCACTAGGTTAAGACAACAACATTCGAGTGATTTTATTTGGTCATGTACTCAGTATTTGGTTTTGTTTCTAAGTATGGCATTTATACAAAGCCTATTTCCATAGTTTGAGTCAAAGTAATGGGCTAGAAGTTGGGAAAGAACCTTTGTATTGCACAAGTTGGTTTTCAAGATAATTGAAAAAACCTTGAAATTCAACCCTCCCCACAAAGGTAGATCTTAGCATGGCTAAATACTTCAACCCCAGACAGGTGTGCCCAGTGTTCACAAAGCACTGGCCACATATCTCCATCTAGAAGGGTTCCTTTTCACACAAAATGTGAAAGGTGTCACGTAACTATGCAGTGTTGCGTAACTATCCAGTGATCCATATCACTTCACCAACGATAATGAGAATCAGAGAGAAGCAGAAGTTGACATTACAGAATTGCATTTTGTTTTATAGAGCATTAGCAACAGCGTTGTGTATACATACTGAAAGATCCTTAACATGCAGCCTGCTTGGGAGTGCTTCATGGATATGGTAATGCTCTCACTATTTATATTGGCTTGTTCAACAGATAAATAGATTTTCCACTATGCATATAGTCACAACGAGATTTAGAAGACTTTCTTCAGTGAGCTGTGGCTTAGTTTGTAGAGAGAGATAAATGTATATTGTTTCGATGCCCATTATTTCTTTCAAAGGAAAAGCCACTTTCATGACATTTTCAGCTTACACTACTAAAATCCAGTCATTACACAAGTTATTCAAGCAAACATACAAATATTGTGGTTCCCTCTGAAACATACTTACTTTAATTGCTCCCAGGTCTGTAGGGCATTTGGTGATCCCTTGATTCTCACCAAGTGAGAAAGATGCAACTTCTACAGGTTTTAAGAAAGGCCACGCATATGCTGCATGTTTCTTTGAAAACATTTCTTTAAGTATTTCATTACAATGTTTTAGTTGTTCTGACAACTGAATCTTCTTAAGACTTTCAGGTGACTGTTGAGAATCTGGCAAGTGTCTCTTCTGAAACTTATTTGGTATCATACATTCTTTTTCACCTCTGCATGCTTTAATGGCTTTTTTTTCATTAAATGTTGCAGAAGATTCACTGCTTGCTGTGATTATTGAGGTAGTAGGAGTTGTAGTGTCAGCCTTCCTTTTCACACCTTTTTTTGCCTATGAAAAGAAAATTTTAGTCTAATATACAGGTGTCCAGAACAGTGAGAGAATGGTCAAGTTTTCAGAGTACATACTCACACACAAAAGATATAATCTAAAAAGTGCCAGACCTTTTACAGCTATTGAAGTCAGAGCAGAATGTGTCACTTCCACAAACTTAGATTGAAAACCTACAAGGCCTTACAAGATCAACACGCCAACCTCAACCTTAGACATAAAGGAAAGAACAGAGTGTACTGCAGGTCAGGTTGTGGTCAGTTTTTAGCCATTTGGGAACACTCCAAGAAGGTGGTAGGTTACGAAGTTACCACAAGATGACTGCCGTGGAAGGAGAAAAAATTACTGCAGTTCATTGTAAGCCTAGTTGAGGGCTTTATGTACAAGGTTTATCTCTATTTTTCTTTCACCTGGGTGTTAGCAATACAATGTGTGCTTTGTCATCAGTGTTTGGACTCTTCAGTAAAGTGTAAATATACACTGTAGGAGAGCCTGGCACATGTGCCTGTTCCTCACTGGAAGAGCAAAACCAAAGTTAAGTCAACACAAGAGTGTTTATCTGATAAAAATGTCAGATGTTCACATACAATTCAGATTGCAGTTAACAAGAATTTGCTTTTGTGAGCTACAAAAGCCTTCCAGGCTAGTTACACAACGTTTAAGCAAACATGCTATTTTGGGGGAATTGAGCATTTGGTTCACATTGAAAATACAAAAAATTATTAAAGTAGAAAGAGCTTTATTTTAATACTAAAACCATTATCTACACCTCAAGGAAAGAACAGTTTCTACATCAAGGTGAAGCCTGCAGAAGTATAGTTATTCTTGAAGTGTACTACTATCTTAAAGTTCATTTTGTTTCTTTGAGAACAACATTTTAATACCACATTTCTAAGAAAAGATGTACCCAGCAGTCATCCCAATTTCTGCTTAGTTTCTAGAATTAGTACTGGCCCAGTTATTTCACAGAGACCCAGAAGATTTAATAGAGATCTCTTACTATCTTCTATCACAACAGAAGTTCTGAAAAGGTACTGCAATACACATGGCTCCTACGGTTTTACTGTTAGTGCCTGAAGCACCAATTTCAATACCTTTCTTTCCGAAAGTTATTTGAGGAAACTCACTTTTGTTATAGGGATTGCAGATGGCATTAAAGCAGTCAGTTTAGCTGCAGACAAAGGAGTTAGTGTAACCTGATGTAGCTCTTGAGTCATCACTGGAGGCTGCTCACTGCTTTCAGCTTGTTTCTGCATTGCGCTTTCTTCATTTGAAGTCCCAGGGTTGGGCTGCTGTGTTTCTGGTTATTTTAAAACAGAAAGTTTTAAAGTTAAGACTTAAATGTTGCAGTTGCTTTCTTTCATGATCAAAGCGAACTGTTGTCAGCAGAACCACTCTTCCGCACCCAATCTACACAAATATAAACAAGAGCAACATTGGTATCCTCCTCTACTCAGCACCTTTAGTACCTCAGCTAGAATACTGTACCAAGTTATGCATATCTGGCTTCCAGGAAGCTGTGGATTAACCTCAGAGGTGAAGATTAAAGGGACATCATGCTAAAACCTGTACACTGTAGGAATGTTCTTGCCAAGAAGAGAAACAAGTTGTTTTCTACATACACATAAGGACGAAGCAGCAAAGGGTGCAAACTGGATCATGAAAGTGCATTTTTCCTAAGGATATTTAAGAACTGCGTATATTGCTTAGCAATATTACATATATCCATCACTTATTCAAGGACAGTTTAGACCAATGTTCTTCTGTATTTGATTTGGCTGGTTGGGTTAGTAATGTTTTTCCAGCTCTGTTCACACCTGTTAGTTTGTATAACACAATGCTGAGTAGCACCATGACATTCTCTGAAATAGAAGTCAGTTGCCCTTTTTTTTCCAAAAGGAAAAAAAGCTGCATGTATAGATCTGTCTCTGAAGCTAAAGTCTGGAAAGACAGGACAGAAATATTTCCTTGATCATCACAGTATTCTGTAATATCCAATTGAAAACCAAGTGCCTAGAAGATTTCAAAATTTGTACAAGCTGCACATTTGTGTATGCAAAGGGAATGAGGAACTTAAACAGCATTAATACCAGCAAGACTGTTACAAAAGCATCTGAACAAATTGTTGCAATCATTTTGGAACCAAAAAGCTGGCTCAGCTTCCAACACATTTCTCAACAGAAATATTTTCTGGGAGTCATTTCTACCAGTTCAACCAACATGTTCTGCCAAGGCAATGAATTGCTTGAGATTTTACTCAAAAAAGCTAGTAAGAGCAGGAAGCCAGATGAGTATCTTCCTCTTCCCCCTAAAACTTCTCCTGAAAGGACCAAGAAATTCACTGTTTTTCCTTATCCAACTACCAGCTCACTGAAAGCTAGTGTTGCTTCTCAAATATACCTTGAGGAAAAAGCTGCATAGGTCTATCAAACTATAATACTATTTTGAAGGAACACTTTTTTCAGATACTACCAACAGCAAGGACCGCTACACCACAAAGAGCAGTAAGAGGAAGCAAATGAAGTCACCAGGAGACCCTTAAGAGCAGTATAGGTGCGTAGCTAAAAAAAAGCATCTGTTAATTGACCAAGTAATAACTGAGCTAGCCAAGTTCTATGGCTATTGGAGGGTAAATACTTAAGAGGTATCAGGTAAGTATTGCAGCTCTTTCAAGACATAGCTAACACTTTCTCCAACAACTGTCAGCCTTACTTTCAGAACAATTTGGAAGACTACTTTGGAGGCCTCCAATTAACACATTGAGATGCACATATGATTGCAGGCACTGCATAGTCTTACTTCTATTGATATAAATATGTATTTTTTGCCATTGTTAAGAGCTTACGTGTAGAAATGTAGCACTTTGTGCAGGTGAAACAGGTTATAAGAGCAATTAAAAAGACATTGAAGTCAGTGATGAGTAATAAGTTGCAGCTAATCACCTGGCCCCTCGCAATTAGGCTTCCCAATGTCCCTTCAAGCAATTACCCTGTAATTTCCTCATAAGTTTGAGATGTCTCGACTGAGCAGTCCTTTTTGTGGACAAGAGAACTACATTTCACCAGCAGTTTGCCTGTGAAGCTATGCTATTACCCTACTGATGAAGTTGTTAGTTCTGATTTTTACCCCCTCTTAAGCACACTTCACTAGTAGAAAATTAGGAAGTTTAGCTAATACCTATAAAAAAATATTATGGCTGCACTGAATCTGCTAAAGCCTTGTAGCAATGTTGTTACTTTCTGATATATTCTGGGAAGAGTGGAAAACACCCTGATTGCTAGAGAGATCAGTTGTGATAAGCTACCGAGAATTCCCCATTTCCTGCTTTTGCTGAATATATAAACAATTTAACATCTAATAGAGGCCTTACCTTCTGGCTTGTTTCCTTTTCTCTTTCCTTTCTTGAGAACCACTAGTCTTTCTTCTGGTGGCATTTGGGCTATTTTCTGTATAAACACTTTTTCTAGTTCTTGGGCCATAAACACAATATCATCACCTGGCTGCAAAATACAGTCAGTAACATTCAGAGTAAAGATGAGGCTGCAGCATCAGGGGGCTACCTTATTAAATAAACAGTCTATACAATCCTGCTCCAACAGATTGAAACAAGCCAACAGTACAGAGAGGTATGTAAGTCCTTGCCATCCCTGCCACCCCAACTCACTTTAATACAAGTTGCTTCATTATTGAAATACTCTTATCTCCCACTGTCCCATTGCAGTGTCTTTCTTGCTTTACATCCAAATATTTCCCACAGCAAAGGGAAAAGGGGGCAGATCTGTAGCTCCCTTACTCATCCCTATGTTCTGAAGAAAGCTGTTGGAGCTTAAAGATACTAAGACACAGCCAACAAACATCCAAGCACAGGGAGATGCTCACACTCCCAGTTAGGTTAAACTTGGAGGAATGTAGCACAGCTCAGGGTTGCTTGCCGTAAACTTGTATAGCAGTTACACTGTGCTCGCTGTTCATGAGCTCTGCAACTAAAACCCAGAGATTTTGCAGGTGGAATCCTTGTGCAGAAAAAACTGTGCACTCAGTTGTTGTAACAGCTGGCTAGACTTCACTTACGTGCCCTCAGTCAATCCTAGCAACAAAGCCCCCCCACTTTTCAGAGAAAATTGTTTCCAAAAAACCATGAAGACATTGACTGATTTAGAGCAGGCTCTAATAATCTTTTGTTTGTTTTAGATTTTTTTTTTGTATTGTTCAATGGAATTGGTTACTTGTAAGAGGTTGTTTTTGCATACCTTGTTATATATGTAGCAGTTCAAGAACATTGTTTTAAAGTCTTCAATGCATTCTGCAGCTTTTGTGTAGTAATTATGTTCCAGACGCTTTTTAATGGTGCTCAAGTCCATAGGATTCTTTATAATACTGTAATAATCCTGTGGTTGCAAAAGAGTCACACAACAGATATCTTTAGTATTAGGACATTAATATTCTTACACATTTAGTTATGAAAGTTAAATTGCAAGAGAAAATTGCATTATGTTGGAAGGGATATTTTATTTGAAGGAAAACTTTCCCCTATAGTCATAGATACCACAGAAGTAGGTGTTCAGGAAGTCTTCACATAATGTTTTCTCCTTGCTCTTTCATATAACATCCACCTTTCAAAGAGTATTTACTTCAATAGGATCCAGAACTATACTGGTAGTAGTACTTACGAAAAGTATACGTACTTCTCATTTGTTATCCCAAAGCCATTCACCTGAAGTAGCACTCCAGTTTACAGAACAGGGCAGGGGGGAAAGAAGCCAAAGACAGACTTTGACAAAAACAGAGACTCAGTCACTGACAAAAAGAAGCCGCCAAGTTTCCACAGTTGCTGATCAAATACTTCATCCCCTGGGTTATATTGGCTCTCCTCTCAGGGTTAGTCTAGTGAAGATGTGGCAATATGACTGAAAGGCAGCTGGAATGTGAACTATTGTGATTATTTTAGTAGCATGGCTAAAAAGGCTCGTGATTAGGAGCATGAGGCCAATTTCCTCCTGGTGCACTTAAGAAATAACAACAGGAATATCTCCATTAAGTTAACATATATTATAATTGTGTAAAGTTACTATTACTTCAAGAGTCTTCTAAAGCTGTCCCAACAATTTGTTTTAGCACACTAAAAAAAGAAAAATACATCGTAGTGCAGACTGTTGAATTTACCAAAACAAAACCAAGAAGAAATTTAAATAACACAGCACCAATAATTAACTATTGTCCATTCTGCATCTTCTAACACCTGAAGGAGAGAGGCAAAGGAGGCAAATACTTTCATTGTCCTTGCCACGGAGCCGGAGGTTTGCTTGTTATTGTGCAGTGGTTGAACTAACACATACTTTTAGAAGTCAAGTGGCTGCCTTAGAAATCTAAAGAGGCAGAACTGGCCTGAGGCCAGCTGCAAATGTTGCTACAACTCTGATTGAGTGACCCTTTATATTAACTTTAAGTGACAGTTCCTTCCAAGGAGGAAATAGTAAGAAAAAGACACAGAAAGATAGTCACTTTGACTGTGCTTTTGGACAAAGTGACCAGATGAGTTTGTCACAAGAAATAGCTGCAGATAAAGGCTTCTGTCTGCTCTTAACACAACCAATGATTTTGTAGAACTAGTCTTGGAAATCTAAGAGAACTAAATACAATTGTTTAATTTGGGAGAGAGGAAAAAAAAGGAAATCAAACCATTGTTTTATTTAACACCTTTCTATTTTTCTACCAAGAGCAGTATCTTCAGAGCAAGATGCTAAAGTTGATTTGAAATTAAGGAGTACTACAAGTGCAATTACTTCTATGCATCAAACTGGATCCAGATTTGTTTATTTACTTTGGGGTCAGTCAGATCTGCTTTTTCATCATAAAGTATTTGACATCAGAAGAGGCTGGCCAGCTTGTATTAAAAATAAAAACAACTCAAATGCAAAAAAGAAAATAATCCTGTGCAGTGTTAAGAAATATGACTAAACCAGCAGGGAGACAGACAGAAGACAAATGAGAACATCAACATCCAGAAACTCCAAGAGGCCTGTCTCAGTGTTCTTATTATCCCTTAGAAATATCGATTTGCACCGAACAAAGATGCAGCATTTAGTATGAACCAGAGAGAAAAGACAGTTTTCTTGCACACTTGGATTAATACAAGCAGTTCATATGCAAAAGTAGTCTTCCACGACCTGTTGGATCAGAAAAAACTCCTTTAAACCAACAATAATTCACAAGTTCTGCAATACTTCATGTATTAATACACTGATTCCCAAATGGTTCTTACAGGAAGATTCAGTGCTGCTGCATCTACAGGCTGATGAAACGGCCAGGAAAAGTTGTGCCTCCACATGGCTTTCATGACCACCCTCTGTAAGTACTGAAGTTGGTTTGTTTGACAGCCACTGTTATTGTTATTTATATATTCTGGTGGAGGAGGGTTAATAATAATAGAATGTTGTTGGCTTGGAACAGACATCTTTAGCAAGTTTGTGTATCCACTTGTTCAGAGATCTTCATTATACACCTAACCTGGAGGAAAAAAAAAAGAAAAATAAGGAGTATTTACTGCAGATATCTGGATTTAATGCTGTTTACATGTTCACTTCTGTTTGTGGAGCGTCGATACTGTAGCAACAGGGATACCTTCATGGTTTAACCAAGACATTTGTTTTACAGTGCATAATTGGATGTGCTGGACCACTAGAAGTCAGTTCTTAAGGTTATAAACAGTTATATCTGTGAAAGCTTAAAGAGCTTAAAGGCATGTTGAGATCTGTAAGATTTCTCTAGAAATAAGCTTCTTCACCAAAATTCATCTATCAAAGTCTAGGAATACATCCTCTGCCTCCACCTGCTCCACAGGTGGGAGTCCTATAGAGGAGGTTTAATCTAAGCAGCAACTTTACAGCACACACTGGAAGTCTCAGCACACAGCAATGGCTAGGTATTACCTTCCTCATGCATCTCAGCCAAGTCACCACACAAAAGTCTTGCAAATGACAATAAAGTGTTTAAGTGTATTTTAAAGCAGTGCTTTTCAGGCTTGTGTATATTCATAACAGTATTTTCTGCCACTGTGCATCAGCTTTGTTATCTACCAGAGGGCTATAAAAGGTTGGTTCCCCTCACCAAGCAGATTTGGATCATTTAAAGAATATTCCAAGGAGTACTACAAGTGCAATTACTTCTATGCATCAAACTGGATCCAGATTTGTTTATTTACTTTGGGGTCAGTCAGATCTGCTTTTTCATCATAAAGTATTTGACATCAGAAGAGGCTGGCCAGCTTGTATTAAAAATAAAAACAACTCAAATGCAAAAAAGAAAATAATCCTGTGCAGTGTTAAGAAATATGACTAAACCAGCAGGGAGACAGACAGAAGACAAATGAGAACATCAACATCCAGAAACTCCAAGAGGCCTGTCTCAGTGTTCTTATTATCCCTTAGAAATATCGATTTGCACCGAACAAAGATGCAGCATTTAGTATGAACCAGAGAGAAAAGACAGTTTTCTTGCACACTTGGATTAATACAAGCAGTTCATATGCAAAAGTAGTCTTCCACGACCTGTTGGATCAGAAAAAACTCCTTTAAACCAACAATAATTCACAAGTTCTGCAATACTTCATGTATTAATACACTGATTCCCAAATGGTTCTTACAGGAAGATTCAGTGCTGCTGCATCTACAGGCTGATGAAACGGCCAGGAAAAGTTGTGCCTCCACATGGCTTTCATGACCACCCTCTGTAAGTACTGAAGTTGGTTTGTTTGACAGCCACTGTTATTGTTATTTATATATTCTGGTGGAGGAGGGTTAATAATAATAGAATGTTGTTGGCTTGGAACAGACATCTTTAGCAAGTTTGTGTATCCACTTGTTCAGAGATCTTCATTATACACCTAACCTGGAGGAAAAAAAAAAGAAAAATAAGGAGTATTTACTGCAGATATCTGGATTTAATGCTGTTTACATGTTCACTTCTGTTTGTGGAGCGTCGATACTGTAGCAACAGGGATACCTTCATGGTTTAACCAAGACATTTGTTTTACAGTGCATAATTGGATGTGCTGGACCACTAGAAGTCAGTTCTTAAGGTTATAAACAGTTATATCTGTGAAAGCTTAAAGAGGAGGCATGTTGAGATCTGTAAGATTTCTCTAGAAATAAGCTTCTTCACCAAAATTCATCTATCAAAGTCTAGGAATACATCCTCTGCCTCCACCTGCTCCACAGGTGGGAGTCCTATAGAGGAGGTTTAATCTAAGCAGCAACTTTACAGCACACACTGGAAGTCTCAGCACACAGCAATGGCTAGGTATTACCTTCCTCATGCATCTCAGCCAAGTCACCACACAAAAGTCTTGCAAATGACAATAAAGTGTTTAAGTGTATTTTAAAGCAGTGCTTTTCAGGCTTGTGTATATTCATAACAGTATTTTCTGCCACTGTGCATCAGCTTTGTTATCTACCAGAGGGCTATAAAAGGTTGGTTCCCCTCACCAAGCAGATTTGGATCATTTAAAGAATATTCCAAGGACAAAGCATGGTAATTTGTCTTTGGCCATCACAGTGTTGCTGTGGTGGAGCAGAACATGTAGGTACTTAGGAATGGCAGAGACTGTGTTTTGGGGTGCGTAACACCACTACTAAGCTAGGCAAGACCTTCACTAAGTACAATTACAGAAGTTCCAGTCCTTACCCACCTTCTTAGTTCATCATTGAGTTACACTCAGTCGAGAATCCCACTTTCTTCTCCCCATTAAGACAAAAAAAATGTCATATTTTCTCATTCTAACTTTAGCTCCTTGGCTTACCAGTGTAACAGTTTCTTTTTGTGCATTCATTTGATCAAGTATTACTTATTCCATTCTCAATTTGTCCTGCTTTCTGCTAAAATAATCCAATAGTCTGCTTTTCATCATGGTATGAAGTATTTCGTGAATTACAGAAAAGATCGTAATAAGCTAGCTAGCTACTGTTATCAGCACATTGCTAGAATAGCATCTGTGCCCTGCTCTTACAACACCTGTAACATCCCATCAGACATTACATATCACAGATCTTACATTTTCATCTTTGTTCTTTATTTCAGCATTCAAAAGCATGCCTCTTCTCAAACAGCTCTTGAAGCTAAAGAGCTGTTCCTCTTTCTCCCCCATGTGTTCATTCTAGTCATTTACAGAATGCGGATGTCTTTCATTGAACAATACTGCCATAGAGGCAAAAGATTTCTTTTTTCCTTAAATAGCAAAAACTTATCAAACCTGAGTTGTTAATACCAGGAACAGTTTTGGGCTGTGAGCCAGCATACCTGCTTAGACACTACATCAGTAATAATTTTAGTACAAGATCAGATTACTTTACTCCACAGTAAAGCAGGTATCAAAGCCAATGGTATTTTTCATAATACTGATTTCACTTGAGAGGACAATTTTAATAGTTTAGGCAGGAAGTTTTAGTTTCAAGTCACATAAATAGCAAGCTGTGTTAACTTTAAATTGGAGACTGATCATCCTCTGTCACCTGTCTTTTTTGATGAGACCAGATCTAGTACTTACTCTAAAGCAAATTTCAAAAAACCCAAAGGGAACCTAGTTTCCTAGAATAAAATATTCTACTGCCAGGGCACAGTATGTGCAAACCAGTTTGCACTTTACAGAGAAGATACCAAACTGTTAAGTGCAAGGCAGACTATTTCTGAAGTTAGGCATTTCTCTGCTGCCTGCTTTTGCAGAGCTGGTACAGAGTTGGTACAGTGGTAAGTACTAGAGAGCACTGCAGTAGGGATCTTGGTCTCTTAATTCAGAGGTGACTTCACAAATTTAATTTTTTCCCCCCATAACTCATAATAGCTCCTCTTGAAATACTGGAGTCTCAGCTACCACCTTACAGTTTTAAGTTGTTAGCTATCATTTTGGTCTCAGGTGCTAAGGCACTAACAATAGAGCACAAGATGTTGCATGCTTGTGGTTGTCAGTCTTGCAGCAACTTATTTTCTCCTAGGGAGAGGCTAGTATCAGACAAACCTGCTCTTTTTGTCCCTCGTTCTGTACTTTCAGTTGGAGATGCCTGTAGCTACCCAGAGGGAACCCAGCCAGCTGCAGTACTGAGAACAACCTCACTGGCATTCTCTCTCCTTCCAGTCAGCGCAGAGCTCTGCCTGCCTCCCAGCACAGGCCAGGGGCAAGCTCACTGGACACCCTCTGTTGTTGCAGTGACACAGTTAAGGCACCCATATCACCCTCCCTCTGTGCAAGCAACAGCCATTTGTTTTCTAGAGTTTGCTGCACCCATTTAGAGTTTGCACTCCTTGGAAATAGCAACACCTGCCTAACGTGAAAAGTGAAAGCAAATGTAATTTCTACTCCCAAGTACACAGTCTCAGGCTTTGCATGTCTTTTACTCAGATGGAGAAACACAAACTGGTAGCAATATCCAAAAGAACCAGAACTTAATAGAAAGTTTTACGGTCAACTGAGTCTGGAAGGCCAAGCAAATTCCAAATACTGAGTTGTCTTGTGCATTCTAGCAAGAGAGGGAGGGAAGGAAGGAGGAGAGCACAAAGAAGGAATAACAGCTGCAAAAGCTGCAATATCCTTATCCTTTCCAGCTCTACAGACATACAAAGACTTTTTATAATAACATGCACAAACAACTAAGTGGTATCCCCCATTCTCTCCACCCCAATATATGTTTCATATTTGAAGGAACACACACTCTCGCCCCCAAGCAACATATAGCTGCATCCAGTCCCAAGAGTAGCTTCTTTGAACATAAACCATTTCTTGCACCAGCAAGAGTACAACAGAAGTTCAAAGAAGCCAAAGAAGGTGAAAAAATTAAATTGAACTCCATATGCATTACACCTTAGATAGGAAAAGTGCATATAGCTTGCACTACCACACGTCATGCTAAATGCTAACCTTTTCACCAATGTATTTATTTCAGAATGGAAAAATCCAGACACACAATCTGCCTCTCCTATAACTGGTCAGTATTAGAAGAGCTGAGAAAAGTTCTGAGGCAGTTTTAAGAACCTCACAACCCAGCCAAAGTCCATCATCCACACTTTTCATCTATTAGGCCATATTATCATTTTCTCCTGATTTTTTCTGACAAAAAACCCCCACATCGTATGATAAAGTACAAGTTGTTCACCTTCCCTATCTGAAGCACAAAGGCTAAAAACTGAAGACAGGAAGGGTAAACTTACAGTTTGAACTTTAAAAATTCCCATCATAAAAACCAGATAAATAGCATTTAGTACTGAAATCAGAATATAAAATAACATCCAATTTTAAAAATTAACACAGTAGAATCTTGAAGGCAGCTCAAACTTGGCATCAAAAAAGTTTTGTGTATATAACACAGTGTCTCAGGCCTAGATGCCTAGCTTTTAAAACCTTAATTTATACCAAGGAAACTAACTTCCATGCCAACAAAAGTGCTAAGACTGCATCTTCCAAAGGAC